ACAATGATTTGAGTATTGCGCCGTGTTTTATTTTTATATATCCGGATAAATTGTATTATTGTAGCTACTGAACACTACTAAAGCATCACTATCAACTGAACTCCAGTCAGAATCGTTTTCTCGTAAGCAATGGTTTATTGTTGCTTACAGGTATACAATAAATTATCTATAACAGTGGCTGGACCCGTCCCAATTATCCTAGGATGTATTTTTTTTTCTAACTGTGTACAACTTTTCTACCAGAAATATTGCTCCGATTTACAAGTGTATCGTTTTTTCGATTTCCCCAAGAGTTTTCCCAGTAAATGTGAAAAAACGGAAAAATGTAAAAAATGAAGGCATAAATTGAAAAATATTACGGCTTTTTTATTTCTAATAGGGAGGTACTTGGGCTACCCAGGTAGGCCTTAGGTTAAAACTGGTAGGAAAACGATAATTATAATTTTTTTTTTTTATTTACCTATATAGTAACCTAACTTAACAAATATGAGCATTTATTGCACCGTCAAAGCCGGGCGGGACAGCTGGTAATATATAGGTACGTGAATAATCGGATTACAATAATAATAATAATATTCGACAATCAAATTTGATAGTGATTAGAATGACCATCATGTTTGATTATAACAATAACAGAAATCGAATTTGATAATTATAGGACATGGCGAATAATAATAATTATAAATAACAATATTGTGTAATATAATTTAGGTACACACAGAGATGCAGGTTGCACAGACTTTTGGCCAGGAGCTGTGGGTAGCAACTGACGCCCACAATACGGAGTGATCAATACGTCAAATGACACTCATCAACTCGGAAAGTGTTAACTATTTTTAAATTTGTTTTATAGGACATTTAAGAAACAAGCGGCTTTACAATTTTACATTTGTGTTATTTTTTGTCACTCTTATTTTTGGTGGTAAAACCGCTACCTTACTTTTAATTTTCAAACATCAACTAATATTAAAAGTTCAATAAACTGATGGAATATTAGTTAAAATACAATTCGGTATTGACATTTTTGATTTCCGTCAATCCGTTGACGAGATATTCCAATTTTAAGCATGGGTCAGGTTAGAGTAATGCCGCGGCACGACACGTGGCGTTTCAATAATACTCCGTTACGTATCAATTTCAATACCAACATTTATTTTTATTAACACTCCATCTATATATGGACGCTACAAATATTTGTTCTGTAAAAAAAATTGAAAAAGTTAATACTTTCCGAGATAATGGGTGTTTTACGATGGATTGATAGCTCTGTTTAATAAAAAATAACGAATAACATTACAATAACGCTTAACCGGACTTTTCGAATTTGTTTATGCGATGGTAAGAACGCGAAATGCTTAATCATTTATAAGGGTGGTTAGATTATATGTTTATTCGAGTCCAAGTGGACACTACTATTTGGCACGAGAAACGTAAAGAAACTCGCTATAAAAAAAAAAAAACGTATAAACTTTAGAAAAAGGATATTACCTACTACAGTTGCCGAACCCGTCCATCGGCTCTCTCTTTTTTTTTTTTTATTTATTTACTTACAAAAAATCGTTTTGTGCGGTATAACTCAACTTTTACCGTATTCATAAGAGACGTACCAAAAATTGAGATCACGTAACGAAGAATTTAATCTATATAAAAAACGTGCTTATTTTTTTGATAACCAAAATGCAATAAAAGAAATCTGATACAAATATTTGACTTTATTTTTACTTTTATTCCCGTATTGCATTGTCCGTACAAGTATATCGAACGGAAGAAAATAGGTTTGGTGGTGGTCTAAAAGTGTTGTAATGTGTCATACTCTTTTTCATCCGTGTTACAATAGATACTCGCACAGCACATTATTACACGTTATTGATTTATATCGTAATATAACCGCTATAATAACGCTAAATTATGAGGACACAAAAGTATACTCCAGTGTTATTATAACGTACCAAAAATTACAAAGATTCAAAGACGACGTTTTACGTTTTTTTCAATTTTCACTTACCCGTCCAGCACAGCGCACGGTTTCGTGTTCTTTTCTTCATCCGCGTTACCAAGGTAGCCCATCTTATTTCAAGCCAATATCGAACCGCCACAGTCCGACAGACCCTTTATTTTAAGATGTCATGGCTGTTATAGAATTTTAATTTCTGTTAATTATTAATTTTTATTCGTTTAGAACTGTTTAAAAAACTATAAACGAGACGACGGAATAGTATAATGGTTACCAAAATAGCGTGAACAAATATCATTGGAATATACTAATAGAACAAAATGTTAAGATAATTAAGTTAAGCATCTCTAAATAATTAGATATTCAAATTTTTCCGGTCCAAAACCAGTTCATATTAAATTATTAATGAAAATCTAACATCTACATCAAGCCTCCGTGGCGCAATGGCTAGCGCGTTCGGCTGTTAACCGAAAGGTTGGTGGTTCGAGCCCACCCGGGGGCGAAAATTTTTTTGCTTTTTTTTCTTCAGCGTTCGATTGTCGTTCGTATGGCCGTAATGATCTGGCATTTTGTTCGGCCCTGCATTCTTTGACCCACGATTAGGATCCTTTCGACTTGCGAGGCGACTTAAATTTTTAGATAGAGATTCTCCAAATCAACTCATTTTTGATAATCTCGCTTGGGATTTATGCTTAGATAGTTGCTGCTTTTTTTTTTTTTCTAGGCACATCGTTAGGAAGTTTTTTTTTCAAGTCAGAGATAAAAATAATAAATAGAGTATATGCTTAGCTATTACTAGATAATAGTGTAAATAAAAGTAATGATAATAATAATAATAATATTAATATATTTTTCGTCCATGACAACCAAATTACCATTCA